TAATGTATGAGTAGAAGCTCATTAATTAACATTTATACCTGTGCTGCAGGAAGGAAATTAGCTGTCACCAGGACAGTTGATAGATGGGTCAGACCTTTTGGGCAGGGAGGTCTGCCATTTTCCTTGAAAAACATGTTCCTGTCAGGTTAGCATTTTATTTTCTCGTACTGGAGGTAGCCTTGGTTACAGTGCAAGCATACTGATAAATGGCACCTGACGGTCATTTTCTTGAGGTACTAATTGAGACTGAGAGCAAATATTTCATGCAGAGGGTGAAGTATGCCTGGCTGTGGTGCTAGTGGTGGTGATTGCTGGGTGGGGATTCTGTTATTCAAGAGAAGTCCTCTCTTTGTTTCATTTCTCATAGTATTTTTAAAAATTGTACCAGATACCTATCTGCTTTCCCAGCTTCTTTAATTTTCCTTTTAATCTCTTATGTAGTTCTTAAGCTTGTTTCTAACAAAGCTAATCTCTACCCTGAAATATTGTTGCCACCATTCATTTTGTGTCCCTTTAACTGGGTTGTTTTCCCCAAATTCACCTTTCCAATCATAAATTAGGTGGTTTATAAATAATATTTTTGAACTACCCAAATATAATTATGGAAAACCATAATTAAAACCATGGATGACAAGAAATATGAAATAAGATTAAATTTTCCAAAACCATAATCAACAGATTTATAAAGCATTATTTTGTAAGGTACAGATTTGCAGCCTTAAAAATAATGCAGTCTAGAAGGATGGATGAATAAATTCTGTATATTAAAAAAATGATTATTCATGTAAAGGAATAAAATGGTTAACAGGTGACTTTTGCTTTTTTAATTTCGAGGTAAGCAAGTTTTAGTTTTATTGTCAGTCATTTTTGCTATTTTGTTATTATCATGCCAGAAAATTGACTGCTTGTGTATGAATGCTGTATAAAGTAGACATGAATTGTAATCCAGCAAAATTCCTACTATTCATTGGAGTTTTCCATTCTGAAAATACTTTTATCAGTATGTCTTTCTTTTTCTTTCTTTAATGAAAGTGACAATAAAGTCAGCTTTTATTCACTTTTTGAAACATTTTATGTGCCCTACATTGCTGCAGTTAACTGGTTATAAAATGGTTTTATTTTGCCGTAGCAGTTTAAGCCTGTTAACTTTGGGGAGATCTTAATTTATAACCAGCCAAAAAAAATTGGTATGTTTTGGCCTCTTTCTCAACAAACTGAGAGATAAATGTTGAATCCATGTGTTAAAGTATTCCTGATATGTTTTTGAAATATCTTTGCATAAAAAGCACTTTTATCTGTTGTAGAAAAATCAGAAAATGAAGGTGATCTGAAGAAAAGCAGCTACCCAGAGATTGCCACCCAGCTATATTTACTTGCACCTACTTTCATTTGGAGGGACTCTTACACGTATATAGCACATCTTGATAATTTTCAGTCTGTTTATACCTCCCTATCCACTGCCTACTTCCCTCTATTTTCTTTTTTGTTTATTTGTCTTTTTGTGGCATGAGTCTTGTAATTCAGACTTGCCTTGAACTCATTGTGTAGCCCAAGTGATTGTCAAACTCATAGCGATCCTCTAGTCTCCACCTCTCGCCTCTCAAGTGCTGGCCTTGCAGGCATGTGCCACCACACCCAGCTTGCATCCACCTGTTCTCAAAGAATGTATGTTACAAACAGAATTAGAACAAGTAGAATAATTCACAAAATTTTGTATCCTGTCTTTTTTTGTATCCTGTTGTTTTTGTTTTTCCGGGTACAAGGGATCAAACTCAGGACCTAGCATTTGCCAGGCAGGTACTTAAGCTGTTAAGCTGTCTCCCCAATCCTCACTTTTTAATTAAATATTATATATAAACCTTTCCCTGTGCATTAAAGTATCTTTGAAGAGTAACTGTAGAACATTGCTTCAGATGGATGCACTATAATTCATTTAAACATTTCTCGATTGTTGTTTTACATGTTATTTTACATTTATAGCTATTCTGAATTTGTAGTTGATATGACTATAAATTGCTTGAAAATAGTTATTTTAGACTAGATTTATACAATTCAAATGAATAAATAAGAGGAGATAAACTTTTATAAATGCTGTCTAATAAGGCAGATTGCACTCCGGAGGATGGAAGAATTTCTAGCAGTATCTAGGAATGCCCATCTCTCCCTGTCTTGGCAGTAATTTGACAGCGCCTCTCTTCTCAGTATCAAGAATTCAACAGCTTTTTCAAAATGTATCTATCCAAACCCAGTTTAGATATATTTTCAAGATAAACTGCTTAGATTAGACTGCTTAATGAAATGGGATAAATTTTAAGTTTAAAAAAAAATTAGGTTGCAAAGTAGTACCCAGAATTATGTAGAAAAATACTTTTATGTAAGCACTTCAGTACTGTCATGTCTCTGCTTATACAGAATGAATGATTTTTAAAATTTCTTTGTGCTCATTTGTGTTTCCCAAAAATATTTTCTGATCAGAAATGTTTAATGAAATAATAGAACTCCATAATTAAGCTACAGTACAAATGTTCTGCATCCTTAATTTTATAAGCCATATAAAAGTTCTGTGTGTTTGGTAATCTGGCACGGTATTTATTTACTTGATGGAATGGGGGTTTGCTCAAATACTTATAATAGGCACTGGGCTAGGTACGTAGCTCAATGGTGGATCACTTGCGTAACAATGAAAAGGCCGTGGATTTCATCCTCAGCACAATACAAACACAAAAGAAGGGTTCCAGCCTTTGTGTTTCCTGGGAAGCACCTATACCTCAGAGTGTCTTTTTTGTTTGTAATTTACACATGAATGAGTATTTATTTGTACTTGGATTGGAATGAAGGATATTTGCACTGAGTTTCATCCTCAAGCCCTTCTTTAACTTAAGACAGGATCTCCCTTAGTCACTGAGCTTGGGCTGGACTTGCACTTCAATTTTCTTGCCTTAGTCTTTTGGAGTGCTGGGATTACATTCATGCACTACCATGCCTGACCAGATGAGGGGTGTGTGTGTGTGTGTGTGTGTGTGTGTGTGTTTTAGATGAAACTTCAAATGAGTTTCAGTGTTTGGCTTGCTTACAGAAATGTAAGAAATTTTTTGGAATACTCATTATTAGACTTGATATACCAGAATTGTGTAGGGGCCTACTAATTGAAATGTTACGATGGTAAGTGTTCTTTATGTTTACATTAATAAAGAGGAATGAGAATAGCTTAGAGCAAGGTATGTAACTAAGGACCAAATCGTTATTTTAGATTTACTGTGCATTTATTTTGGTATGGTATTTAAACCTTAAGAGACAGCCTCATTAAAAGTACAGTAGGCATGAGTACACTGTGATATGTGGAACAAAACTTAATGAGCATCCTTAAATGCTTTTTAAAAAGATTTTTTTCTACATATAAAGCTCGAGCTAGTTAATCAGTATGAGTTTTCCAATAAATTCAGAAGGTAAAATGTATTAAAATAGGTTGAAAGAACTTGTTCACCTGAATTCCTAACATGAAAGGTAAGTGACAATTAATTTCTACAAAGTTAGAAACAGCAAAAAAAGAGAGGTAAGTGACATAGATTAAACTGAAGTGTATGAATACATTTCCAGAATATAATGAAATTGACATCACAAAATAATCCAGACTTCAAAATATTTAAAAGCTAATTCTTGATCAGGGCACAGTGATTGGTGCACACCTGTGATCCCAACACTTGGGTAGCTGAGGCAGAGGATCACTGTGAGTTGAAGTCAGCTTGGGCTACATATTGAACTCAAGTCCAGACTGAACTACACAGTGAGACAGTATCTCAAAGAAAAAAAAAGGCTGATAGGAGAGGGAGTGGGGGAAAGAGATATATCTATGTATGTAAGCAAGATGGTTTGGACAACTGTATTGTGGATTTCTGCTGGTCTGTGGAAAGGAGCAGATAATGCTTAATTTGTTTTGTCTCCTTTTTCTAATTGTTTGTCTTTTTTCTCTTAATTTCTTAATGTATTTCTTTTTTGTTCTTCCAATTTTGCATGGATATACCTGATAATACGAACAACTAGTTGGAAGACAACACTTTGTATTACAACAAATACTGTGAAATTCATATTACTGTGTTTTCTGAAATTCTGTATCCCTTATAATTTTTTTTTTTTTAAGCGGAACCGGGAGATTGAACTCAGGCCCTTGCGCTTGCCAGGGAAGCGCTTATTCCACTGAGCCATCTCCCCGGCCCCTAATTTTTGTTTTAATAGTGTTTTATACTCTTTAAATTTTTTTTAATTCTAAGAAAGCTAATTCTTTGTCTTTTCTCCTTTACTCACTTTAACTGGTAATTTTATTTTTGTTTTATTATTTATTTGTTTATTCGTTTCGTGGTACTGGGCATCAAAGCCAGGGTTTTTTTCCTACTAAACCAGGGCCATATTCTGGCACTTGTAATGAAATAATTTTTATGTGGCACTTTTAATGAAATAATTTTTCATATGACATGTTTTTCCTTGTTACTCATATCCAAAGCTCAAATCGCAAGAAAAGATCTCCTTATACAATGTTACCTTTATTTATTTTTTTCTTTTTTTTTTATGGTCAGCTCAGCCCACCCTGGGGGCGGGGCTGACACGCCATGTGGTGCTGAGGATTGAACGGAGGTCCCTGCATGCTTGCCTAAGCTTGCCTAAGCAGGTGCTTTAGACCACTGAGCTATCTCACCAGCCCTCATACAATATTATATACAGCTCACATCTGATTTTCAGTAGTTCAAAATTTTCTTGACCACAGTGAAATAATAGATATTTATAACATTCCATTAATTTTGTCAGTGTTTAACATAGGAAAAATACGTCCAGAAAAATTTTATTCAAATTATTTGTAAAAGACAAAACAAGAAAATACCATTATCAGTTACAAGTTTTCAATGACAGGCTTTTTCTTTCTAGACAGAAAGTGATATGCTTCTAGCGTAACATCATGGTCTTAGTACCATCCCATACTAATAATCCATTTTGTTGTTTTTCTGTAGATGTGCTCTTTGTGCCACTGTCCTGGAGCAACAATTGGTTGTGATGTGAAAACATGTCACAGGACATACCACTACCACTGTGCATTGCATGATAAGGCTCAAATACGAGAGAAACCTTCACAAGGAATTTACATGTAATTTTTTAACTTCTTACATTGTTTAAAGTTATCATTGTGGGGCATTTGTAAAAACTTTCCTATTTCCAAGCATTTTATCCTTATCATCAGTGTGTTTTTATTAGACAACGGTACAAAATGTTTGTTTCATAGTAAGTTTTTTTTTAAATCCAACTTGTGAATGTAGTAATGTGTGTTACTCATTTTGTTAATTGGAAATAAGAATTTAGATGTCTTACTTGACAGGTTTTAATTTCTTCATTGCTTTTGTAGGGTTTATTGTCGAAAACACAAGAAAACTGCGCATAATTCTGAAGGTATGTCATTTAGCTACTTTTTCAGGAAGGAATTTGAGTAAAATATGAGTAATTGTCCTATCTTAATATCTTAAGATGATCTCATTATTTGTGGAACAATTGAGAAAATCATTATATTAAATTAATGTACATAGCTTTTCAGAGTACTTTTACCCTAAAGTTTAATAAAGTATATATTGAAAATTCATTTTACTTTAAGAAATGGTGACATATTTCTGTAGGTGATAAAGGAGAATGTGATCTTGGGAATGCACTAGAGATTACAATCTTCCTTTTGTAATCATAAGACTTGCTGTTAAACTTTGATTCATACTGTAATATATTAGCTCCCCCCTCTATGCATGGTTCTGCTTACTCTGGTATTGGTTACTTCTGCTCAACCACAGTCCAAAAATATTAGCTGAAAAGTCCAGAAGTAAACAGTTCCAAAGTTTTAAATATCTTGATCACAGAATATTTTTATGATTATTCTACTTTATTGTTAATTATTATTTTTAATCTCTTACAGTACCTCATTTAAAAATTAAATTGTATTATATTTATGTATTAATAGGGTTTGGTAAGGTCTCTACTGGAGGCTTAGGACATATTCTGAAGATAAAGGGATACACTGTTGTACTTTACAAATAGTACAGACGTGTGTAAGTAATCAAATTTTAAAAAGAAAGTTTGCAGTTTGTTTTCACTTAAATTTTAAAAAATTATGTTTTATATGAAGTATGACAAAGTAGACAGTGAAAGACACATTGCAATTATTTTTTCTCATTTTGAACACACTCCGTTACTCTTGAATCTTTCTGAAGCAATTTATTTTTCTTTTTTTTTTTTTTTTTTTGGTGGTACCAGGGATTGAACTCAGGACCTTGCATTTGCCAGGCGAGCACTTATTCCACTTAGCTATCTCCCCAGCCCATCTGAAGCAGTTTTGAAAAGTCTCTTTCATGGGTGTCTTTAGGAGAGGTCACCAAAATTATGGTGAATGCTTCTGCATGCCACGCAGTGGAAAAACAGATTTATGAAAATATCGGTGTGAAGGGCCAGGGATATAGCTCAGTGGCATAAGTGCCTGCCTTGCAAGCAGAGACTTCTGAGTTTGATTCCCAGCACCACAAAAATGATAAAAAATAAAAGCATGGTATGTCCTTACTTTCCTTATTCACCAAATCTGGCACTGTGTGACTTCTGGGTCTTCCTCAAAGTCAAAACAATCGTAACAGGTAAATAAAGTTGATTAAAGATATCAAGGCAGGCCAGGCATGGTGGTACATGCCTGTAATCCAGCACTTGGGAGGCTGAAGCAGGATTGCTGGGAGTTCGAGACCAGTCTGGGCTACAAAATGAGCTCAAGGCCAGCCTGAACTGCATAGAGACCCTGTCTTAAAAAGACCCTGTCTTAAAAAGACTGAAAAAAAAAAGACATCAAGGTAGCCATGACAACACAACTAAGATGCTAATAAAAGACAGCTTCCAGAAGTGCTTTACAAAGTGGTAAGAATGATGGGGGAAAGAATGCTCAAAGTGAGGATGAGTATTTTGAGGCGAATTAATGGCATTGTGTCTTTTCCTGTAATAAACTTTTTTAATTCACTATATTTTTAGATTATGCCTTTTGCATATAGTTGGTGTTTAAAATTCCTAAATTCTCACATGGAATTCTGACTTGTTTCAGAATTCTTCAAACACATGATTTTGATACATTTACTAGCAATATGAAATGGCTTAGATTTATTCTGAGATAGTTCTATTCCTTCATTTGTGTTAAGGATATTTAAATTTTTTTGTTAGCTTATAGGAGCATGCTGCCTAGAACATGGATTTAGCACTGTTTTGGGAAGCTGCTTCTTTTATGAAGACTAACCTATAGTATTGATAACGTATTAACATTGATAGTCCTTTTGATCTCTGAAGTCATGGTTTTATAATACAAAATAGTGTGCGTTTCACTTTTTTATTTCAGTACTGGGGATTGAGTCCAGGACTTAGCATGCTAGGCAATTGTTCTGCGACTAAACCACTTCTTCAGCACTGTTTATTTCTGGACTCCAGATTAATCTGAATATTTTAAAGTACAGTTTAAAATATAATCATGGGCTAGGGGTATAGCTCAGTGGTTGAGCACTTTCTTAGCATGTGTGATGCCCTGAGTTTGATTCTTAATGCTATCACCTTAGTCAGATTTTATATCACATAATGAAATATCAAATGTATCATAAATATGCACAATTATGGCATGCTAATCAGAAATTGTAAAAAGAAATATACAAGGAGGTGGCAATAATGTTTATCCTTATTTGATCTTTAAATATGTATCAAATTATCGTATTACCTCTTGGATATGTACAGTTAAAATATAAAATTTAAAATTTAAAAATGCAGTCTCCTGCAAACAGCCTTAAGACAGACTAGATGAATAATAAAATACCTTTGAGGTGATAAAGTTTAAATCACAAACCTTTATTGATTTTTCCTTTTTTTCTTGATATGTTTCTTGATCTTTCCTTTTTTCCTTTGATTCTAGAATTCAGTTCAAAAGTCTTGTGAAAGTTTGTTTTCCAGCCTTCATTACTTCAGATTTTAACAGTATATTCAGTATACTTTCAAGACTGTAGTGGCCATGTATGTTGACAGCTGAAAACTGATACTTGTGATCTGATTAATATAAGGGTATGAGCATACTGGGACTGGAGAGCTTTGGGAGGGATGATTAATACATACTGATTCATGGAGCTTGCCCCAGTTTATTACCTAGATTTGTGAAGCTGATAGTACCATCTAGTGGTGGAAAAAGTTACTGCAAACTATATAAAATAGAATAATTTTGACGATGCTTTTTGCTCTGTGAAACTTACTAGTAAGAGATCTAGTTTCATGCTTTCCAACATAAATTTTCCTCTAATGTTACTAGCAGAGTTACTACAACTTCAAATCTGTGATATACTTGAATTCTGAGTTCATTGTACAGTTCTGCAGAGTATGAGGGCCTCTTGTATCATTGATATATAAAATGTTTATACTCACTGTATACCTTGAAGCATAATTTCACATTTTAAAAGTATTACAGAGATTATACTTAGTGAATTTTGGCTTTTATCACATTTATTAATCTAGTGCAAATTTCGTTTGCATTGTGTGCTTTAGCAGAAACAGCTTTTAAGTTGTTCTGGTGGGAAATATATGGTCTAATTTATGATTGTGATTTATGGTGGAAGAGTTATAGGATTGGCTTTCAGGGATCGTGTTTGAGAATTGTATTGCACGAGTCTGTAGAGAAAAGAGAAACTAATACCTATGGTAATTTATTGCTCATTTGTCATCTGTATTTCAATATTTCTTATACTTAATATATGGTAAATATTGTATGTACAATTCAGTATTTCATATTACCTATATAATTTATATTTTTTAAACAGAAAAGAAAAACAAGAAATAAGCAGAATTTCAAAACAGGCTAGTACGAGAGTAATAGTAATGAACAGACTGCCTATTGTTATCTTCAGGGTAGTTTTCAGAGTGTAAGATAGAGGCATGAAACAGTGTTGAGAAAATTACTAGCACAAAACTTTCTCCTCAATGAACTAAGAGAAACCAGCTGTATAACTATCTTGATTGTCTTGTATATGTATATATTTTGTTCCTTCCCACTGCCTTCCTTTCTCCTTTCTCACATCATTTTTTTTAAATCAGTCGCTTTCCTGTTCATAGTATCAGTTGTACTTTTTAGATCTTGTTTATTCTTTCAGATTTTACTGTCACACTAGGGAGACAGTACAGTGTTTACACATGTGGGAAGATACCCAGCAAGGGAATTAGCTAGGTCAAAAGCAACCTCTAATTTTGGTTTTTAAAGAAATCTCCCCACTAATTTCCGCAGTGGTTGCACCAGTCTGCACTGCCACCAACAGTGGAGAGGTGTTTCTTTTTCCCCAGTGTATTATTTTGAAATATTTCATAATTTAATTTTCTTATCTTCAGTAAAATATTGTTTAATACTTAATATATAAGACTGATACCACTTTTGCTTCAGAAAAAAATGGACTATGATTTTGCAGAAGCAATTTTTTCTTTAATCTGTAGTCCAAAGTACATAGAGTTTTTCTCTGTCGCCAAGTGATTAGAATGCCAAGGAACTATATATATTTGCCTCTTAGTGGTGATGACCTTAGGAAGGCTGCCTGAAAATGACATGAAATGTACAAGAAAGCATTTCTGTTTTAAAATATCTCCCATTTCAGTGGAGACAGCAAACCAAAGACAAGGTCCCTCTGGAGTTATACACACATTGGTAAATTTCTGTGACTCACAATATGCCAGGTTTTTTAGATGACTAAGGATATAGAGTTAAGTTAGATGGGTCTCTGATCCTAAGGAGATCAAATTCTAACTTGAGATGTGTACATTAAATAAATAATTACACAGTTAGTTCGTTATAATTGTATCAAATAGCATGAGTGAGAAATACAAGGTACCATGAACATACGTGCAGGGGTAGCTACAAAGGAATTTCATTTAAGTTAAGATATAAAAGACTAAAAAGGAGGAATGAGGGAGCATTCAATGCAGTGGGATCCAAAGTAAAGGATACAATGTACATGGTAAGCTTCGAAGAGGAATACATGAGCCACACTCATTGATAAGGATTTTGGATTCTATCCTTAGGACCACAGGCAATGAGGGTTTTATACTGGAAAAATGACCTGTTACAGGGGTCCAGGTGAGTACTAACAGAAGGCTTGGACTCCAGTTGTAACTATGGGGATGAACAAAAGTAGACAAATTTGAGAGAAATTCTAAGGATAATACTGAAAGGAATTCAGGGATAAATCTGATACAAAGATGAGAGAGAGGAGTCATTTGAGGTGAATCCAAGGTTTCTGATGTAAGGACATGGAAGACCAGTGGTGCCACTTATTTAGATAACAGTTGAAGTGTGCTTATTAGGCAAGTTGTTGAGTTAAGCTTTGAGAGGTCAAGTTTGAAATACTTAGGAGCCTTCTAAGTGG